ACTAGTAGCGGCGACCATTTAACATATTAAATCGACCCGTTATTATATCAATGCACCATTTAATTTGTATACTTCACCCCATAACAAGTAGCGACGACCATTTAACACATTAAACCGAATTATATCGAATGCACCATTTAATTTGTATACTTCACCCTATAACAAGTAGCGACGACCATTTAACATATTAAACCGACCCGTTATTATATCGAATGCACCATTTAATTTGTATACTTCACCCTATAACTAGTAGCGGCGACCATTTAACATATTAAATCGACCCGTTATTATATCGAATGCACCATTTAATTTGTATACTTCACCCTATAACTAGTAGCGGTGACCATTTATTATATTAAACACACCACGTATTATGTGCGCTTCACCCTTTAACAAGAAGTGGTGACCATTTATTATATTGATTTAACCCTTTATTATATAGAACACACCATGTAACATTATGTACCATACCTTAAGGCAGCTATGGCGTTCCATACAATTCTCCCAAAACTTAGACCGCAACGCCGACACTGATAAAGGATGTACAAGAAAAACTCATCTCAACTGCATCAAACTTAGCTTAAAAGTCTGTTCTACTCAGGAGGTAAATTCTAGATTAGTTACAGTACACCGTATATTGAGTATCCTTTACAGAGGTTTTGGGGCTCTTTAAACGTCTCAAATGTTCTCGTTTTCATTTCTCAGGAACACCCCCTTTTTTTACTATGCAGTGCTTTTGACTGTTATGCATGTAAATGTAGGGTACAGTATATATGATTTTAAAAAAAATTAAGAGCATCAATATCAGCAGCATGCAAATGAATGAATTAAACAAAATTAAAAATAATTTTTCATTAATGGCTTCAAATTAATGAGGGGAGAACTTGATGACATGTTTCAGAATACAACGTATATAACTTACTAACCAGGTATCATCCCGTATCCAGTATCTACAAATTTCATTCAGGTGGCTACGATAGAAACTTGTAATATTTAGTATAATATTGAATGAATGAATTCTTTGATTGAGTAGCTAAATAAAGAAACATTACGATTTTGGTTTCACTTTTAGTCTCATTCTCCATTTATACAGGAAGTAATCAAATCGAGTCCACGGCTGTTTGCCTAAATATAAAGAAGAAAACGCTGGTGTAACTAGTGCTAATTGTAACGGGAACCGTTACAGATGTTCCCCAAACGCTCCCCAACTCCCTTTCGGTGCCATGTTCCCTGTAAGCTTCATTAAATAAGACAAACTCTGTGCATTTTTGACTTTTACATCGCTTTCCCGGATACCAATTATATTCAATTTTTAGCATTGCACCCAAGCGCATGTGAATGCATGTGCGTTATGACCATATCATCTTGTCTACACTATTAAAATTTTAATATACTATATATTAAAGCATTCAGTCCAAAAGTAATAAAAATCACTCATTCAAGAGTATTTTTAAATATAGTCGTTTCAAATGCACGCACGTGTGTGCACGTGCATGATAATCATACCTTCTTGTAGGAGTCCCTTACATCTATCTATGTTCTAAATCCCATCCTGTTTGGTTGAAAAACAAGGGAGTTATATCCATTTAAAGTTTCAGCTAATCAGATTGCAGCACACGTGCATGCGCGTAATTTAATGATTTTTTTTCCTATCATTTTGTAGGATATCCTAATGCATGACTATATTTTAAATTTCAAAAAATTTCGTCAAAAAACAAAGGAGAAATAGCAATTTAAAGTTTCAGCCAATCAGATTGCAGCACACGTGCATGCGCGTGATTTCATGATTTTTTTTCTTTATCATTTCGTAGGATATCCTAATGCATTATATTTTAAATTTCAAAGAATTTCGTCAAAAAACAAAGGAGAAATAGCCATTTAAAGTTTCAGCCAATCAGATTGCAGCACACGTGCATGCGCGTGATTTCATGATTTTTTTCTACATCATTTTGTAGGATATTCTAATGCATGACTACATTTTAAATTTCAAAGAATTTCGTCAAAAAACAAAGGAGATATTGCCATTTAAAGTTTCAGCCAATCAGCTTGCAGCACGCGCACATGCGCATGCTTTCATGAAAATTCTTATATATCTTGCGGTAGATCTTCATAATGTAGGACTATTTTCAAAATTTCAAAGGATTATGACAAGAAACAAGAAAGTTATTGAGACTTTAGTTTCAGCCAATCAGAGCGAAGCGCACGTGCATGCGCGTGAGATTTTTGCTATCTTGTTTATACTACTAATGTATCCTTACATTATGAGTTTCAAAAAATTTCATCAAAAAATAGAAAAGTTACGGCAATATCCATTATATTGGTAATTTCACCTATTGCACGTGCGCGCTCTTGCAAGCACGTGCGCGCAAAATGACCTTTGTTTGGCAACTCTACATAACATGCCTACTAACCCTAAAAAGGTTTCACCTAAGTCGGATGTGTAGTTTACAAGATCACTCGTGGACAAAATTTTCCCAGGAAGAAGAAAAATAATAATAATAATAATAATAACTAGAAAAGCTCGTTGCAAAGCAACGAGTTTCCGTCCGGTTTTGACCGGAAGTGACGGAACAAAAGAAAGCAACGAGCTAAGTAGTCTCCAGTGACTTTATAATTTCAATTTTGCATCAAAACCTTCAAAATAAGCCATTTTTTGCAACTTCCGGTTTGACCGGAAGTGATGACGACGCACGGAAAAATTACTTTCTATGCTTCCAGAGACATATGTAACCCAAAAACTTGTCAAGAACGGCAAAAAAATGTGTTTTTCGACTACTTCCGGTTTGACCGGAAGTGACGACGCCGGACGTATTTTGACGACGACAGTAGATTAAGCTTGTCATTTTGAACAACTTTGCTTCTTTGACGTATTACAAATTCTAAATACTTTTGGAGATATAAAGGAAAAACGTTCGGCCCCTCTCGGCCCCTGAATTAAGGGGCCAGCCCTTTTTTCGAGGTATCATTTGAAAGATCTCCGAATTCTATACTTTTTTGGTTCTACATGTTTAAACAAAATATTTCTAGGTAAAAAGTTATCGTAGAAAAAGTGTTAAAAATTTTGAAATTCTTGATAGGACTATTTTTGGGCCATAGCGAGCGTCGGCGCTTCGTACTTCCGGTGGTTGTGATATACGAAATTCACTTCTCCAAAGGTTGCTCTAGCATCACTGAAAAATTCATGCTTCTGCGTTGAGTGGTTTTTCAGAAAACTGCCGGACAAATTGACCCTCTGAAAATCACTAAAACGCGGAAAACTCATAACCGGAAGTGACGTCATCAAAACCAAAAAAAATAGTTCTAGTTTTTTTCATGCTCTATCAGTCCTGAAAGTTTCATGAAAATCGAGCGAGCCGTTTTCGAGAACTCGCGTGCACAAAATCGGTAAGAAAAAAAACAATAATAATAATAATAATAATAATAAAAATAGTGGAAAAGAAACCTAAGAATAACTTTTCCGCTGAAGACGGAAGACCTTAACTAGTGCTAATTGTAACGGGAACCGTTACAGATGTTCCCCAAACGCTCCCCAAACTCCCTTTTAGTGCCATATTCCCTGTAAGCCTTATAAAATAAGAAAACATCTGTGCATTTTTGACTTTAACAACGTTTTTCCAAAAGGATACCAATTATATTCAAATTTTAACATTGCACGCGTGCCCATGTGAATGCACGTGCATAATGATCATATAATCTTTCTACACTTTCTATATATTAAAATATACTTTATATGAAAGCATTTAGTCCAAAAGTATTAAAAATCACTCATTCAAGTGTATTTTCAATTTCACTCGTTCCAAATGCACGCACGTGCATGCACGTGCATGATGACCATACCTTCTTGTAGGAGGCCCTTATATCTATCTATGTTCTAAATCCCATCCTGTTTGGTTGAAAACCAAGGGAATTATAGCCATTTCAAGTTTCAGCCAATCAGATTGCAGCACACGTGAATCCACGTGATTTCAAGAATTTTTTCAAAATCATATTGTAAAATATACTAATGCATAACTATGTTTTAAATTTCAAAGCATTTCGTCAAAAATCAAAGGAGATATGGCCATTTAAAGTTTCAGCCAATCAGATTGCAGCACACGGGCATGCGCGTGATTTCTTGAAATTTTTTGTATATCATATTGCAGGATATCCTAATGCATGACTATGTTTTAAATTTCAAAGCATTTCGTCAAAAATCAAAGGAGATATGGCCATTTAAAGTTTCAGCCAATCAGATTGCAGCACACGGGCATGCGCGTGATTTCTTGAAATTTTTTGTATATCATATTGCAGGATATCCTAATGCATGACTATGTTTTAAATTTCAAAGCATTTCGTCAAAAAATAAAGGAGATATAGCCATTTAAAGTTTCAGCCAATCAGATTGCAGCGCACGTGCATGCGCGTGATTTCATGATATTCTTTCCATATTATATTGTTGGATATCCTAATTCATGACAATGTTAAAAATTTCAAAGCATTTCGTCCGAAAACAAAAGAGATATTGAGATTTTTGTTTCAGCCAATCAGAGGAAGGCGCACGTGCATGCGCGTGAGTTCATGCTAATTTGACTGTGTCATATTATTAACACTTTCAATATATCCTTATGTAATGAGTTTCGAAGCATTTCATCAAAAAATGTAAAAGTTATAGCTATATTAAGTATATCAGTCAATTCACTTATTTCACGCGCACGCACGTGCAGGCGTATGCGCGCAAAATGACCTTCGTTCCGCACACCTACACTACACACCTATTAACCCTAAAAAGGTTTTAGCTCAGTTGGGTGAACAGTTTCAAACACTCGCGGACAAAAAAGTACCGGAGAACAAATAAGAAAAAAAATAATAATAATAATAATAATAAGAAACAGAGTAAAAACAATATGTTCCCAAACTCCGTTTGGGGAACATAATAATAAGAAACAGAGTAAAAACAATATGTTCCCCAACTTCGTTTGGGGAACATAATAAAATTTAAAGATCGATTAAATTTTCGGGCCTTTGGCAGAGCGCTATTCATCGTAAATTTATATGAAAGAAAAACTTGGTATACAATGTAGATAAGCTTGGATGCTTCTGTCAGAAAGTCCAATTGCAAGAGAACTTCAGCTGCTCAAAAACCGGAATGGGGTCATCTACCAGTAAAAAATCAGAAATAACGACAGAATCTGTTGAAGATGACCAGAAAGAGGAAAAACTGCGCAAAAGTAAAGACATGGAGGCTATAGACCTAGCTGAAGACTTTGATTACCAGCGTGGAGTTCAGAGAAAACCACCCGACCGTAAGCCATCGCTGATACCACAGACTGACAATCAGACGAAGATAAAGGTCCGAGCCTCAGACGATGAAATGAAGGAGCCCACAAATCCAAGTAAAACGGACAATAAGTGTGCAGAGATAAAGGAAAAGAATAATTCTAGACAGAGAAAATATACCAATTCAGCGAGAGAACAACAGGAAGAACAGAAAAGTGTCCAATCCCAAAGCAAGAATGATCATTTTGATTTCTGGGGGAGCGATGTGTTCTAATATTTAGCACAATGCCGTGACGTCACAATGGTCTCTCCAGGGACGTCACTGTCAGGTAATGAAAAGGTATTCAGTTCTACTCTCTGAGGCTATCTATTTAAAATAAATATATAGCTGGTGCTCTCGTTGCTTTCAAGCTTTATCTATTTATTGATTTAAAAGTCTAGTTTTTAAGCGGACTCAAATTGTAAATGTTATTAAAGTAAATATACCGGAAACATGAATGGGAAGAACAAATAATTACTAAGATATTTTACCATAATATTAAAAATGGTTTGTATGAATGTCTTTTGATCATGTTTGAAGACTCAGATATTTTCAATTAACGAGGGACAAAAACAAAATCCATATAGTAATTTTTAGCTGTACTTTAAGACTGAATTTATTTTTTGGAATACTTGCTGTATAAATTATTTGTAGATACTTTCGATATGTATGGATGGGAAACGTCATTGGAAAGAGTGATTCTACAAGGAGGAAAAACAATGTCCGTATAGTGATGGAGTCCCCAATCAGTTCCGAAACAACAAAAAAGGTCAAGTTTGTCGGAGTGCAAAACAAAACTGCTACCTTCACGCGCACACCAAAAATGGTGGACATAGGTAAAATTTTTCAAGATGATACACCAAAGAAAAGACCAGAGAGTTTCCGTGTGCCAGGATACAGTAGTGCTATGTCGATAAATCCCCCGGTGTCCGTGAGATCCGGTGTCACAGTACCTGTGCTGACGTCAGCCTCTCTCGGTCCCGCGCACCTCTCCACCACCCCGGTGTCCCTCACAGACAGTAATACACGAAGGAAGCTTTAACTGAGGGGCGGATCCATCAAAGGACAAATAACATGGACAACAGTTATAATGGTTATTCTGTTCCATTTTTCCGGGGCAATGAAATGAGTGCCTTATATAATTTTTCATTTAATTTTATGTTAAAAATCATTCCAAATGCTTCAAAGAAAGCAAATCGTCATTTTACTCTGAAGCTGGTCTGCAGTCAAACGAATTTTATGAAATGATTCAAATAAATTTGTTCTTACTTTTTGTGATTATGCATTTTTTTTTCATTTTATTTTTGAAAATGTATATGTATATTATCTGTTTTTAAATTATTATGTGTCCTCTATGGAAAGAAATTGCTATTTTGCTATCCCATTACTTTTTACAATTTGTATTAGGTGTATTATTTCTCTGTCGTCTCATATAACATTTTGCTTTTACGTCCTTACTTATTTAAAAGAAATCTTATATAATTCAAATGCTCAGAATTTCAGCATAATTTATTAAATATCAAATTCTAACCTTACAATTTTATAAATCAAATAAAATACAAATAAATGACGTGTTCAATTAATTTCTGTTGGCTGTTTTAAATAGTAGCTAGACTTTACTTTACAACAAATTGAGTAATGCATTCTGGATTTCACTTTATTAATTTAAATCAAAGGACAGAATACTCTACCTGACAAAATAACAAAATAGAAACTCTATATAATATATAAAGGTTCTTAAAAACCTAGCTAACTTCCTAATGTCCTGTGTGGAGTTTCCGCTTCAATGGTTACCTGTATTTTTACCTGTTCAGGTGTCAATACCCGTGGGATAAAATCTTCTCTCCGCACCCGGAAGTACAGAAGTTATGACTAAGAAAATGTAGACAGGTTTCCATACATGGAAATGATTAGAATATACCTGTATACATTTATAAGTGAAACATACCACTTAAACAATATCTGGACCTAAATCTAGGTATGTATTCTTTATTGTTTTATATTTTACCACTCAATTATACAATGTAAGTGCTAAGGAAGATATTAAGAATATTGATATTAACATTTTACCGTCCATACGTGTCAAGACTTCCACACTCAATACTACGTTAGTTTCGATAACTGTGTAGAGTTAGGCCATCTAGTTCATTAAAAAAAAAACAAACCTTGAAGTCAATATTGTCAAAGACAAAAAAATATCTTCAATATGGAATTTATAAACATAGTAACGTACATATGCATGTATGTACAACCCTTGTGTTGAGATTAACATAAGTCAGATACGTAGCTTATAGAGTTCCTGAGGCAAGCTGTTTTACATTTTCAGCTTGCTGTTTTGGATCGCGCTTTCTCTGGATCACGGTATGTGATAAAATTTTCACCCGTAGACTAAAAAGGTCCCTCCTCTCGGGTAACGCGTTGCTTGACCTTGTATAGGTGTACATGCAAAATGGGGGTTTAAAGGCTTACCAAAGAATTTTTTTGTAAGCCTAAATAATTTTAATAGTTAAGCCTTTCACGCCATTGCTTAGTTTCTGTTCAGCAATTGTTAAAAGTCGAAAGGACTGCCACGCAGGAAAATGTGTACAGAACAAGATTAACAAACTGTAGGTAGTAAAAACATTCAGTATACTGCTCATCAAAGTGTGGCAACTTTTACCCATTTGATACAAGTGGGGTACGCCTCCACGTAACTTTAGTGAACTCTCCCCCTCCATTCCATGGTTACTCTCGCTTGTCAGAGAATATCCTTTACAAAGTAAAACTTGTTTATTTAATCTTAAATTTTATCAAGTTTTATCAAGAAATTTATTCTTGAACAAAAATGTCCATCTTTAACACTCTATATTTTTTTTTTCTTTATCGTGTATTGATCGTCGGTACTTTTTTTCATAGGAACACCTTGTCCTCTTAAGGATGTTTAGGAAAAACACCGGTGCAACCTGTTAACTTAGTTGTGAAGAAGCGACACAAATTGAAGCAAGGCAACGGAGACCATGGAATATGTAAGTAAACACGTGCTGTTATAAAATACGAACTAAGCTAATGATATGCGGTATAAATGAAGAGGGTTTTCGTAAACAATACGTGTTTCTTCCTCAATTGTATATGAGATCTACAAAGATTTTAACAGTTTCTCGAGTTTGAGCGACATAAATGTCACTTCTTGCTTTTGGGAAGTCAGGATTTTTTTTGTTTATTTATTAAAATTCATGAGCTTTGTACAAATACATAAAATTATCATAAAATCAGGAAGGTTCGAAACATAATCGTTATATAGCATTTTATTGATTAAATTAGAATTTTTCCCCATATTTAATCCCCCCAATGGGCAAAAAAGTGGAAATGTCCAAGCTCGAAAGTTTAATTTCCTGGGATGAGTGGGGAATTTGGGTGGTCTTGATGGAAATGCCTTTCACAACCAAATTTTTATTTATTCAACATGTGCTTTTTGGATTTACTAAATAGGGGAGGTAAATGCAAAATATTTCAAAAGAAAAAATTCCTAGGTCCGTGCAAGGACAAAAAAGCATGAAGGTACGTCGTGTCACAAGCCATTGAAAAACTCCGACGATTCTTATTGTATGAGAGTAACAGGTCGGGCGAGTCTCGAGCTGGCAATCTCGCTTTTAACCCCCGCTACTTCTCATATATTTCCTCTCGTAGCTCAAACGATCCATGCCTCACACTTCAATTTTCCAGAAAACTAGGATCTTACTTTCTTATTGAACAGATAATTGGAATAAGCCAATACTAAGTAATCGTTCTTACTTTCATTTTACAGATAATTGGGTTAATCATTCTTGGAGTCTTTGTTCTTTTCCTCATTATTGCCATTATATTGCTGACATTATATTTTCTTCGGAGACTTAAACTTCAGAACGACAAATTATCAAACATTGAAAAGATTTTATGTGAAAAAGACACACCATTGCGAAGTTTACCAACAAAATTGGAGAGACCTCAGACGGACAGTGCCGTTGACGTCAGCGAACTAGAAAGCACCACCGGTTCTCTGGACATGCGTGAAAATGGTGTTTTCAGGAACATGGCGTCGACCCGTAACAGAAATAATGTGATCAGCATTATTACACGGACTAGCATCCACACTTTGACCACTACGCCAAACAGGGGGCCTATTCTTCCGTCACAAGTCGTGGATTTAACGCAGGTTACCGAAAACAACCCCAAAAACGAACAGACTACACCTGATGACATCAAACTAAGTACCAATTTTGCAGACGAGTTCATGAATGTATATGAGAAATATTTCAAGAAAAATGTTCAAGATCGCCCGACGTCCGTCCTCGTGAAAGCTGAGGCTGGTCGCGAAGAAATAAAACATGAATCAGGGATGTTCGTGCACAAAGAAATGGACATGAAAGGAGGTGAAATGAAAATCTCAGGAGTGACGCTCAAAATACCGAAAGATGCTTTAGAGAAGAAAACGGCCATTACCCTAGGAATAACTTGGGAAAAGAATCTTTTCCCAGATTTAAAAAGAGAACAAGCTCTATTAAGCCCTTTAGTTGTATGTCAACCGTCAATGTCTTTCAAGAAACCGGTAGAACTTACATTTCCTCACTGTGCCGATAAAATAGAAACCAACTGGAAGTGGAAAATAATAAAGCGAACTGGTGATATTACGCAACAAGGTTCTTGGAGTGACGTCACTCTTGAAGATTACGAGGAACGGCGCGTCACGAAGTCTTCGGTAACTATACATCTCCGCCACTTCACCTTGTTTACCCTCATTGGAACTTCCCAAGAGAACCGCATAGCTGCCAAATCTGTTCAGATAGTGGCCTTTTCTACAGTGCTACAGAGGGCTTCCCTATTTACCTCCAAACTTTACTGCATAAACGATTATGGAAGAGATATAAAGGTCAGTATTACAAATTTATTCTAAAAATTACTCTTTTTACTCGCTCAGCCTGACTAAATTCACAAAACACTTGTTCACATGTTTATTAACAAGTATTTCTGAATTCATTGCTATAGGAAATCAAAGGCAGAGAAAACGAAGTTAACCGAAAGACTGTTGACAGCCCGGTTCCACTTCTTGTTTACGACAATGGGGAGAACGTGGTATTGGATCAGTCGAGAGATCCGGAGGGCTGGAAGCTGATGGGAAAGAAATCAAATGTACCAAGGCTTTCAGTGTATTAGTAACTCTACGGCTAAAGAAATCTAGAATTGTCTCTCTGAGCTTTAAGCAACATCAAAAGTGTTCTAGTGTTTAAAAATAAATATTTATTTTACAGGAACTGGATTTTGAATTAGTGTGGCATTCCTGTAATCCTAATTGTTCTTTTGCCTATAAGCCACAGTCCAACGAAGTAACGAAGATCATCGTTGAGTACGCATGCTATCAAATCAAACACGAGGCTAAAAAGTCCAGTATTCAAATCGCCGCCGAAGCACCAAAGGTTTGTATATGTTCTTGCGCATGTGCATGTCTAGAATTAAGAAAACTAATTTTATTCTTAAAAAAAATATGATTTGTTTCAGCTTCTTCCGACACCGTTTGACGAGAAACAGAGTGAAATGACAAGAAAACTGGTTCTATGCCTGGACCCAGTCTCCGACAACAATGGCGACTGGAAAGGTCTGGCGGAGAGAATGGGACTAAAATTTGACAAGATCCGCTGGATTGAAGAACAGAGTGGAAGTCCCACAGAACTGCTCCTAAACATGTGGAGAGATAAAGGGAAAACTATAGAGGATCTGAGAAACATTCTTGTGGAAATGAACAGGACAGACGCAGTTTCCGTAATTAACAAATGTATGAGCATCGACAAAAAGTGATTTTATGTTTGTTATTCAGACCTTAGTGATATTGTGTAATGCCAGTTATAATAATATCACAGAAGTCAGGTGCCTGTGGATAATATCAATTTATTACGATATCGGTACTATCGGTAAGTCGCTCTTGTGTTTCAAAAAATACACGGAATAAAAGACCATAAAACTTACGAAATTATCACTTTAAACAAGACAATTGATTCTTGTTTCATCAATATATTTGTCAATTAACTAACCTCGTTTAAGAAATTGTTCATGCGTATAGCATGTTCTTGCAGATCGAATAAACCGGGAGATATAAACTATTTTTCTTTTAATAAAAAAAAGTCATATACCTTGGTTGTTAGATTACCATTAACCCAATAATACACATTTTGTATATCTTTTATATATCGTAGAAAAATAAGTAATATATCGTAAGGTGCCTGTGTGTAATATTATGTCTGATAATAACGGAGTACAATTGGTACCCATGAGAATTCCAATAGTATGTTAGATAAAATATCAGTGTCAGATACCTCAAATATTTTTTTTAAATGAGGTTTAATTTTTTATTTTCATGTTTGTTTCACAATAGACTTTTCGCTCGACTTGTTCACGTACCCATCTTCGTTTGGACGAACAAAAGGGATAGAATTTCTCATTTCTTTTTTGTGGCTCATGTCTTAAGCATCAAAGCTGGAAAGCCCAAAATCAAAGAAGACAAACAAATATAGATTTAACCAATCAGAATAACTTTAAGAAAACGACCCACTGCTTTGTGATATCCGGGATTTTAGAAATTTCAGCGGGGGCAAGTCTATTTTGCAACACGGAGCAATCAAAACTCAGCGTCAATTGCTTAACACATACCCTTCAAATATATATTTTTTATCTGTAGGTTGTCTCAACAAAAAGATCGTAAAATGAGGAAGATATATAAAACAAACCTCCTCAATTTACCTTCATAAGGAAATAAGGCAGACAATTTTTGAATAAAAACACAAAGAAAATCACGCATTGTCAAATCTTATCTTCACAATTATTTATCTAAGGACTTTATTTCGCAATAATCTTTTGTGAAATAAAGTCCCTAGATAAAATTCGAAAACAAAATTCTCCGGAAGTTATGCATTGTAATTATCTTATCAATACGGAAAACCGGACATTTCTATAAAGGGCAAATTAACATCGGAAACCCAAATCAAAATGCTTGAAACCAAGATCAAAATGTTTTTATTTCCTTCACTTAAAAGTTGTTCTCGGAACTTAGTGACTACGTAACTCAGTAATGTTGGTCAATCATACTTTATGGCGCTTCTTAAACTACTAATGAGCGGTTCCATAATAAGCAATAATTTCACTTACTTTAATATGTGAACAAATTAAAGGCAGACATACATGTTAAATGTTAGAAATACAATAACTTTTCTTATTAAAATAAAATATATGGAGATAACGGAAAGTTTTCAAGCTCAAAAGTCCATACATGTACACCAATACAAAATAAGAGCAGAGCAAACACGGACCTCCAAATCATCAGAGGTAGGATCAGGTGCCATGGAGTAGTGAGCATCCCATTACAGACTGGTCACACCCGCTGTGTGCTCCTTGTCATGATCGGGAAATAACGGGAAAAGCCGTTGATAATTCAGTGTGTAAATAATTGTCTAACAGAAAGTATGAAAAATGTCATTCAGCATAAATTGTATTTGCTGACAATATGTTCTCTTATGTTATATGTGTTTATCAGTTACAACAGAGAATTAGATTCGTTTTTAAAGGAGGCGAGATTTACGCTTTCAAATGTCTATATAATAATCATAAAAATGAAAATCTTCAATATTTGTTTTTTTCTAATTTATAACATAAGACGGGAGTGTCTGTGCATATTCTTTTTTCCACATGAAACGCAACCAATGTTCTAAATTGCTATTGAAACCATCTTCATTAAAAATACCTTCAAGTCTCAAAATGGAATCAGCATTGTATCCCCTTAAACTGACCCAACCAGGTAATACTCAAATAATTTGGCCAAGAATTGTCATTCCTTATAATTGAATTTCAAAATCATAAAACAACTGTGGGTGTAAAATTTCGTTGCTTTTCATAAATTCAAATTTGCCGCTCAATAATACAACCATAGTTACGAAAGTGATGGAAAGCGAGGGGAGATAAGAAATGACACATATGCCTAGCATAATTATGTTGTTTGTTTACATTTGGTAAGATAGACTTATTGTTTGAAGTTAAAGGTATATTAATTAAATATGGAGATTTTCTATGATTCACTAGTACTAAAATGAGAGGATTGCATGGATACAGATGATTCAGCTGGTTGTCAAGAGGGGGGAAGCCAAACCAGATTAAACAGAAACTATTTGTGTTCCTTTTTGGACATTAACAATCAGAGGCTAGAATGCTAACAAAATTTTATCATTAAGTGATGTGTACATGACATTCTACCTAAAATTTTGAAGATAATAAACTTCAAATCTGTGTCCAATCCCCTTTAATTAAATCTTTGACTTGGCACAAGAATTAATGTTTGCTTTAGTTAGAAAAACAAAATTCACCTTTTGAAAACTTTATTATAAATTTTTTCTGAGAAAACTTGAAACGCTGGAAGTAGTAGTCTAAGATTTCTTTTGTACCATTCTCTGGAAGTAAATTAATGAATTGGTTATTCAGTATAAATTCTGAACACATCTTTATTTTTAATACATGTATTGCCATTTGTTATTATTAAATATGAAAGTTAGGTTAATCTTGACTGTTAATATAGTAATAAATATATTTTTAATTTTTATGAACTGTTCAGAGAATTGTTTGTAGGTTTTTTAGAGATTGATCAGTTTGTTGTCTTCACCTCATAGAGTAGTCATATTCATGAATAAATACTAACTGGATAGATAAAACATTCCTGAATACACCCTTACTGGATAAATCAGAATGTCAATGAAATCAGCCTGTTAAGGTACCTGTTATAGCTAGCATGAAGTACAAAATTCTTGTCCAGGAAGTTTTTGTAGAATTCCGAGAGTTCCTCAGCTGAGAGTTTAGACTCGGGGCTGTCTAACTCTCCACGCTTTTCTCGTAATTTCCTCTTCACAAACTCTTCTTTTTCCTTATTAAATTAATTGACACAATTGCAAGAAAAAAATTAAAATTCTAGACTTTCTACATATTTTGTCTAACATGATGTCATCTTAAGCTCAGTTTATACTGCAATACATTGATGATGATCAATTCAAAAAATAATCTAAATAAAATGTTTACTTTTAATATATCAATGCGTTATATACACTAGAGAATCGAGAGTTAATACAAAAGTCACTCACTGCTAAGCACAAAGAAGGATGTGTGTATTAACTACTTTTCTGAGTTTATTAATATCCACACGTTTTATAAATATTTCCTGTCCCAAAAAACTACCAGTGTTTCTAGATCCTACTTATAGGGTAGATATAGAGTTTTTCTGAAATCTAACTCCTCAAAATCTGACTTTACACTTTAAATTTGACACTTTATAGGGTACATTGAATATTTTTACTATCAATAGTGATGGGGAATCGGAAAAAAATCAGAATCGATTATCGGTAATAATCGGCTGGGCATAATCGATTAATAATCGATTATAATCGAAATTTTAAACTTTAATGAAATTAATATAGAATAGTTCAAACTTGCTCAGATTTCTGTCAGACTTTTACAAAAAAATCATTTACTTACATAAAATATTCAAAAATGTTAATTGAAATTTCTTTTTTAAAAAAGTGGAAAATAATATTTTGTTTACTTTAAACAAATTATATAGGACTATTAAAAACATAGTGGGATTTTTTTTTATAAAGTCCATGCAATGGGTATTTTACTGATATTAGTCCTACCTTTCATTTTAATAAATGTATTTATTTCTTAAAATTAGTTTTAATTTGTTAAAATTGCAAGTTTTAAAAGTAGTTATCCAGAAGTAAGATTTGTATTTCTGATTATAATAACATTTAAAGATTGACCTAAGACTAATTATGTTTTCCTTTGTATAGTAAAACCTTGCAATATCACAGTTTCCTGGTTTTAGTCTGACCCCATATTTAATCATGGCGGTTAAGTATCAACAAAACACAGAATCCTTCCATGTTTTCAACATTCATCACTTATTTTATGCTCTTTGCACCTGGATCAGTAAAATTAAAGTATGACAATTTTATTTTTTGTTTGTCGGCGACATTTATTTTATAATCGATTAGTAGCATCGAAGAGCTTCTAACGACCGACAATCGATTGTCGGCGACAATCGTTCCATCACTAACTATCAAAACTGTTTTCACTGCTTTTTGCAGTCTCAAACATGAATAATAATTTAGTTAATCTTTTAAAAGACCACATTTATTTCTTTTTCATTTTCCTGATGAAAGTTACCTTGAAGAATTTTTCATTATGACTGGCCCAGAACCCTTGGTTCCAGTCGTGTGTTTCCTTCCTAAGAAGCCGGTAGCGGCGCTGCAGGGGCGTCTCTTTGTTTGGCACATGGAAAACCACTGGACGGAGGTTAGACTTCTTGTCAGGAGGGCCAATCAAATCATGGCTTCTATTGGGAGGAGGGACATTGTGGATATGCAGCTCACTGTTTACCTAATAAATAAATAAATAATATCAGAACAACCATAGAAGTAAATTTATTTTTTTTAAAATAAAAATACAGAGCTTTATTATCAGTTCACCTCATACTTATCCATTGTTCACTGACAGAATGAAAATATGTTCAGATATTGTAATGTAAAAGAAAATAACATTTGCATACAACTGAAAGAATATTAAAATAAGAGTTGTCTTTCTTCATCTGGTGCTAGCATTACTTTGTCGTGCATGATTCTTTGAAGAAAATGTTTATAGCATAATTTCTTTTAACATAACAATTGTAAGCATCTCTCATGTTTCTTCTGTAAACAGTGGTAATGACATGAATATTTTTTTTAAATGTGTTATTCCTTGACAGTAACCACCACTGGACCAGCAGGATTAGGTTCAAATAAATTTTGAATTCAGATTTGAATTTAGATCCACCC